TCGCTCAGAAGATGCTTCAGAAATGGCCCAGAAACAAGCAGCACGGTTTGACCTTCTCCTCCCGGAGGAGGCAGGGTAATGTCTTTTAAATGATGCTCACCTCTTTGTGTTAGATTGTACTCTGTGTTAGATATCATGTGATTTAAAAACACATGAGTGATGTTTGTCCCTGATCTCAGGTTTTTAGAAGGAGATGAAGATGAGGACACGTGTATGATCTCACAGGAGGATATTGCGGAGGCTGTGGACATAACATCTGGAGCAAAGGTACTGAGACCTTTTTATCAAATAAATGTTTGTTTGTTTGACAGGTTGTTTGTTTTAACAAATTGTACCTGAAGTGTGCACTGAAGTTGGTTAAGAAAATAATGGAAACTGATACCTGTCACCCTCATACTTATGTAGTTCATCACCAACCATTTTTGCAGGGGAGAAGATGGATTTTAAAAAAGTTTTGTGTGAATGTATAAATAACTTATTAAACAGAAAAATTTGCTCAGAAATTTTGAAGAAACACAGATTATGGACTTTTGTTTGGTTTTGCTGACAAATTCACACACTGGTGATGGCAAGCTACATTATTATTACTATTACTATTTAACACATTCATTTTGCAAGCAAAGGTTTGCTGGTTCAGTTCAAAACCGTAGACATAAATTTGCTATGGAGTTATCACGGGAAGAGATTCTGCAGAGTGAGTGTTGTTCATTTCTTGCTATCTTCTCCTCCTCAGTATTTTAATCTGAAACTGTCTCAGTTTGGACCGTATCGATTGGATTACAGCAAGACTGGACGGTCAGTATCATGCAATATCATGCAGCACATGCTTATCTGTGTGAAGTGTTTTGTTTCTCTCTTGTTGAGAGAGAGACTGATATTTAGTGATTTAAAAGGCCAATATATCAGCAGATGGTTTAACATTTAACAAATTGCTCCATTATGTAGTGGTGGAGTTTTTTTGGTTGTTTTTTTTTTTTTGTAAACATTGATTTATGTCAAGTCCACCTAAGTTGTCAATGGTCTTGGCAGGACGACTCACCGTTTCTAGAGGAAATGTTAAGTATCCTTTATAACTTTTGTAATCTTCTAAGCAGATATGAAACGTACATATTTATTTCCAACTCTATGTCTTCCTGACAAAAGTAGATTTTGACATTAGGCCTTCATTATTTCTAGCTTCTTTGCTAATTGGCACACTCACCAGTTAGTACAAGCAAAGGAAATAAACTTTTCCTTTCTTTAAGCTTTTCTGAGATTCTCTGTGCTTGAAAAAAAAAACTGTTACTAAAGGCTGAGAGTGCAAATCAACAATGTTGGAAATTAAAAGAAAGACATGGAAAGAAATTAAACCACAGCTGAGGTGAACCTGCAGAACTGAATGATCATTCCTGTTTTTACAATAAATAGATTTATTTAGATATAAATAGAGAGACTTCATAAGTTTAAGTTTTGCAAATATTTATGTTCTCTTCACTTCAGTCACCTGCTGCTTGGTGGGAGGAGAGGCCATGTTGCTTGTATAGATTGGGCGTCCAAACAGCTGATGTGTGAGATAAATGTGATGGAGTCTGTCAATGATGTGAAGTAAGTCATCCGCCTTCATGAAACACAAAGCAGAAATAAAACTTTGATCATCTTCTCCAGACTAAAACAAATTTCTGCCTTTGTTTAGGTGGCTTCATACCGAGGCTATGTATGCAGTGGCTCAGAAGAAGTGGCTTTATATCTACGACTCTAACGGAATAGAGCTTCACTGCATCCGAAAATTCAATGACGTCCTTCGGATGCAGTTCCTCCCCTATCACTTTTTGCTCGCCACAGCGGTGAGTTCACAGTAATCTTTTTTCTTTCAATTTCTTGCATTTACATTTCCACAATAATTCAAAAATTATGTAATACAGTGGTCCCTCGTTTATCGCGGGAGTTATGTTCTAAAAATAACCCACGATAGGTGAAATCCGCAAAGTAGCCAGCTTTATTTTTTACAATTATTATTGATGTTTTAAGGCTGGAAAACCCCTCACTACACACTTTATACACTTTTCTCAGACAGGCATGAACATTCTCACGCTTTTCTCTCTTGATAAAAACTCTCAAAGTTCAAACCTTCGTAGAAAAATAAGTCCAGTATTATAGAATGAAACCAAAAATCAAACCCTGTTTTCAGGACCAGAACATGGGAATAGAGCAGCTGCGAGAGAATTCAACATTAATGAATCAATGGTATGGAAATAGAGGAAGCAAGAAGAATGAGTTGAGCAACGTTTGACTTATCTGAATGTTTTGTTTCGCTTAATGCACCTTATAATCCGGTGTGCTTTATAATCT